CAGTTGGATAACTTAATCCCGAAGTTTAGTCACGAATTCTAATTAACCCCGCAGACAATTCTCAGACGAGCAAACGTTAGGCGCCTGCCGCTTTAATTTATCACCTCACTATTTAATAAATTAAACGTGCACTGCACGGGCCTTACCTCAGGGTAAAATCTCTCCTCGGTCATTCGAATATTAGTGCCGTCCATCTCGGAGGGAATCAAAGAACACAGATGTACACGACACAAAAAGCGACACACAAATTAAGGATTCAATCAAAATGAAAATAATCGGCGGTATATTATTTATAAAAACATGTTATAGTTAAAAACAAAACCAAGAACAGTTTATAGGTTAGAATAAACGGAAAAATTAAACCTACCACATTCTACACACGCACCAACACAACTAAAATTCTAAAATCAAATTCGTCGCCTGATACCGGCGAATACCGACATTCGAACTGCCCTGCTCAACCGCTTGCATAACTCGCATTCGTAATCATGAAATGATAAATTCCAAGACGATAGGAATATGAAAAACTGTCATCAATTATTTGCATTGCACATTTACGATTAAACAATGCGCTATTATTTACTATATGAACTGAAAGAGATCCATCGCTTAGCCCCCTCCCCAAACTTTTTCCGTTTTATGGGCTCAGTTCATGGGAGTAGGCAACTTCCCCAAATATCAATCCCGGTGTTCGCGTTTGCACAAACCATAGCTTTTGAAACGAGAGTTATAGAAGGGTGAATTACTAAATTATCGTCAATAACTACCCTTCTTAAAAATAATTTCAAATTGTAACCTCCCCGGCCAATTATGGGTTGTTCTGAAAATCACAAACTCAACGCAATTAACAAGCTGGATCAGCAAAGTTCTTGTTCTATGAACAGGTGGGGCGAAGTTCCCTGGCTGCCGAGTTTTAGAGGGCGAGAATTTGCATTCCTGCATAAAGAAATGCCCGAAGCGTCGCAAATAACAATAGATACATTAACATGCGGATGCCCTTGCAATAGACACTTATTACAACCCCTTCCTAGACGAGTTTCTATCAAAAACACTTCTTCATATGGGTAACATACAGTTATTGCGCTTGCCTGATGTTAGAAATAAGAGATTGGAGTAATATAGGTAGGTACGTTGAACCACCAAAAAGCTTTGGTTGAATGATAATTTCTAAAGTCTCTTGGATCCTTCGCGAATAAATATGCCATTTCCCTATGGCCCGTTCTATCTGGGACACACTGTATGTATCGAAATGAATAAAATCGGATACCGAGCTACCTTAGAAAACAAGGAAAACCTCCAAAAAATATTTTTGAAGAAATGTTGCCTGTATACGGAGATGATTGCTCTTCTAAGTCAACTATTTGCGAGTGGTCAAAATTGATTAAACATGGTCGAGATGTTCCCCATCTAGGGTACCCTGTTAACGTGATCACTTGAGATGTAGAAAAAAACCAAGTCTTTGGTATTGGAGGATGTAAGACCAAAGAAACGACAATTGGCAGCTTCCCTAGGAGTTTTTTTGAGTTCCTTATTGACAAGTATTCCGTGTCGTACAACTGACGCTCGAAGACATATTGAAGATGGGTCAACCTTTGTTTTCGCCGGCAGGAAGTTCTGAAGGGTAGATTGCAGATGGTTCTAATCGCCTGTTTTTGTAGTATCAGCACGCGTTGTACTTGAGCACTACCACCCCAGTTTATTATATTGTACATAATGTGCGAGTGAAAGTTCGAATGATACAGGGTGAGAAGCGTAGATCTAGTGCAAAGATTTTTAAAGCATTTAGAGAGTAGCAACAATTTCGCAATTTTTTACATACGTTATCAATATGCAAGGACCATGTAACATCCTGACAAACAGTCAGGCCAAGTATTTTTGGCAGTTCCAAGATTGGGCTACTAGTTCAAAAGTTACAGCCCTTTGAATTTTTTTTCGAAATTGGTTTCTAGTCTATAACTTTTGACTGAGAAGTCTAATCGAAAAAGTACGAATTGTTTTGGATTCTACGCACCAAAATTAATAAGAAAAAGTGTTTTCCCGAGAAATTTTGGTGCAGTCAATTTTTGGTAAAAAAGGAAGGTTATACACTGCCTTTTTTTGAACCCCGAAATAAAAATTGTCTCAGATCGACCCGGGGAAAAAAAATTTTCTTATAGAATGTGGCCTGTAGAATCCATAATTTCAAACAGTTCCAAGATTGGGCTACTAGTTCAAAAGTTACAGCCCTTTGAATTTTTTTCGAAATTGGTTTCTAGTCTATAACTTTTGATTGAGAAGTCTGATCGAAAAAGTACGAATTGTTTTGGATTCTACGCACCAAAATTAATAAGAAAAAGTGTTTTCCCGAGAAATTTTGGTGTAGTCGATTTTTGGTAAAAAAGGAAGGTTATACACTGCCTTTTTTGAGCCCCGAAAAAAAATTGATACAGATCGACCCGGAAAAAAAAATTTCTTATAGAATGTGGCCTGTAGAATCCATAATTTCAAACAGTTCCAAGATTGGGCTACTAGTTCAAAAGTTACGGCCCTTTGAATTTTCTTTCGAAATTGGTTTCTTTTCTAGTCTAAAACTATTTATTGAGAAGTCTGATAGAAAAAGTACGAATTGTTTTGGATTCTACGCACCAAAATTAATAATAAAAAGTGTTTTCTCGAGAAATTTTGGTGCAGTCGATTTTTGGTAAAAAAGGAAGGTTATACACTGCCTTTTTTTGAGACCCTAAAAAAATTGTCTCAGATCGAACCGGAAAAAAATTTTTCTTATAGAATGTGGCCTGTAGAATCCATAATTTCAAACAGTTCCAAGATTGGGCTACTAGTTCAAAAGTTACATCCCTTTGAATTTTTTTTCGAAATTGGTTTCTAGTCTATAACTTTTGATTGAGAAGTCTGATCGAAAAAGTACGAATTGATTTGGATTCTACGCACCCAACCCAAATTAATAAGAAAAAGTGTTTTCCCGAGAAATTTTGGTGTAGTCGAATTTTGGTAAAAAAGGAAGGTTATACACGGGGCGGACTGGGTACTTACGGGCCATTAAAGTATGAGTGTAGCAATGAAGGTGGCGGGTGGAGGGGGGGGGGTTAGCTCTGAGGTGCACCACAAAAACATTTTAAGGTACTCCTTTTTCGAAATTCAATTACCATACAGTTTTTTTTAATTGCAGCTGATAATTAAAAGTAACAAAATATACAATCCACACGAGGTGCGTCGCCTATCATTGTATTTCAGCACTTTCAAAATACTACGACAAAAATGATAAATTCATTGTAAAACACTTCAATTAAAACAGAATTTTTTAACAACCTAACATCAACCACAATATTAGAGAAACACATACTTATATATATACTTATAAATTTCCAACGGGCCACTATGATCTACAGGCCAGGTGGCAATCGCCACCCGCCTCCCCGGGCCAGTCCTCCCCTGACTGTGACCCACCATCAGTATGGTTGTTAGCATGGAGATCTCGATCCTTTCCAATCTTCAGCCGACCTTTTCAGTGCCAAGTAGGAGGTGCCCATATCTTCCATTATTATATTAACGAGCTCCTAGTGAGTTTATAATTTTGCGTTGTCTGTCTGTTAGCACGAAATCTCGATAACGAATGGACCGATTACGATGAAATTTTGTAGGTGGGTTCTTTATCAAATTTATAGATCGAAGTTGGTGAATTGGCAATGTAGGCCAAAAAATAAAAAAATTTGGTTTTGCGCATGCGCAGTGACAACTTTCTTATTTATGGAAGGATTTAAATGAAATTTGATACATATAGCCACTTGGAATAAAAGCAAATGTAGCGCCAGTTTCCAAATTTGGTTTTGTGCGCGTTAAATATTGTAGAAAGCTTGAAAAGGTTTCATTTAATATTTACCATCAGGATTCACGAGCATGCCCAATGGTACTGTTTTCGTGGCGGTAGACATTAGAGAAAGTGAAGTTATAAAACATCATTTTTTGCAAAGATTTTACAACGTTTACGTAATGCTTGTGCATCTATTTATCTGAAGTGGCTTGAATGCATAATACGAGCCACCTCGGCAAGAGTCTGATTTGATAAATCTTTAATTCCTAACCAAAAGACCAGGAAAGAAACCACATGTAAGGGTTGGGTGTACGAATAAAATGCGGTATTGTCGTTCGCACGTATGAGTATCTACCATTACTTCTTAGATTCTGTGTAGGAATTTCTTAATTCTTCTTATTGTTTTCATAATGACGCATAGGAAATCTGCCGACAAAGTGCGATAGACCTAATTTACATTTTATTAACGATCTTTTTGTATTGGTCTCTGCCCGGATAACTTTGTATAGAAACGTCCAATCACGTTGAAAGTTGGTACACATGTTCAAAAGTAACTACGTGCGCATGCGCAATCAAATTTTTTGATTTGTTAACATATTTAAATGAAATTTTGTATACCTCGAATAAAAGTACCTACTGTAAACTAATGTAGATACAAAAAAATTTGTTTGGCGCATGCGCAGTACGATTTTTTTATTTGTTAACCTATTGAAAGGAAATTTTGAGATTAGGTACTTCGGAAAAAGTAGAGCCAAATCACAAAATTTGTCTTGCGCATGCGCAATCCGATTTGTTAAAATATTAAATGAAATGTTGGATGTGGGCACCTCGAATAAAAGTAAAGCAAATGCTGATTTAAAAAATTTGTTTTACAATAAGGTGTGAAGATCTCGAGGATCGTTCAGTATTCAGTTGTATCGGATTTTTTTTCACTGCCCATCGCGTCCATCCATTTGTCGGTGGCATACATTATTAAGTTGATTCCGCGGCTAATCTGGTGTAGGTATATTTGGTGTGGCTTTTAGTGGGACCCTTATGTATCATTCTAATGCCCTTAACCGGAAGATTGCTCTATTTGTCCAGGGCTATCCGAACTTATGCTGCTTGGTCCACTCATCTACCGAATTTAACGTTGAATCTCTCATTTAAGTTCTTTGCCGCGTCACTGGGACCCACACCATTAAATTGCAACTTTAACAAAATACGTTTATTGCTTTTGTCTAAATTGTTACAATTTCTATTCATCTAAACAGATACAGCAGCCAATATATAATTTGGAATAATTAGTATTGAGTTGCAACACTTTCTAATTTGTAAACATTGGGTTTCAATATCAAACACAACAGCGAATATATACTCACTCTTTGCAATTTATCAATGCAGTACTTGATCACCGTAGCAAGTATAACATTTTAGTAAGTTTATAAACTATATCAAAAATATCACATTTTAAAATTAATCGGTAATCAGTCAGGTACAATCAGTGCGAATCATACAAAAGATCAAAGGCACATAAGTTCACATATGAATTTTAAGGAATACTGGTAAAGAATGTATTCATTCAATTATGAGAAAGTCACAGCTGGTGGAGGGCACACAAGTTTTGCCCTTTCAAACGCTTCGACAATAGTATTCCTAAAAAAGATCCTAGAAAACACAAAGTAATAAATGTATTTCATTTGCATACCTAAATAAGTGAAGATACCACAGGTACGCACCAACATGACCCGTTTTTACATATCTTATAGTCGCTTGAGGCCACACATCTTCTAATTTACAACAGCCGCTGTTAGGAACATAGCCATCATGTAGGGCACAAATGGCATAAATAAGTGAGGTGTCGAACGGTATTGAGAAATTCTTCAAATGTGTGCATTCATCCATAATACCCTTCATGAACCACACGGCTTCTGCATCACGCCTCTTCACATCCCAGTTAGCCAACAACTTGGGGATAGACTGATCGCGCAATATGTTGACTAAATTTAAGTTCAAAACTGAAGCCATCATAGTATTTTTTTTGTTACTGAATTCATTCGATAAAGATGAATAATTATTAGAACGTAACAAATTGATTAATTCGAAAGGAGTTAGCCGAGTTCTTGAATTTTTATTTTTTGGAATTTCCATATCTATAACGTAAAGTTTAAATATAAACACTTGAGAAAATCCCAAACGCAAATGGGATATCAGAATGGAGAACAAATAGGGAACCTTATTGAATATAAGCGGAAACTAATAAGAGCCGAAACATTTTGCCAAATGGAGGGTCTACCATTGCAATATACTTTATTTTTAAGCCACTCTAAAACGCCAGATCAAACTTCTATTCTATTCACCAGGGGAACCCGCACATAGGCACACCCCTTTCCTTCGCAACTAGGTTGAGTCAGTTCTTCTTAATAAAGGTTCCAGATAATTTTTTCAAGAAAAATCACAGCATACAGGGTGATCCAAGCGGAATGGGCAATCTTTTGGGAAAATAAAGTAGAGGTTATTTGAGGACAAAAACTCTAATAAACTATATTTTTATTTATTTTATTTTTATTTATTTATTTTATTTATTTACGTTCCTGTTTGGGTGCAAAGCACTTACAGTTGTCAAAACAAAAAAGGTTTACATGTAAAAGTGTATATAACATTACAAGTTAAAAATAAAACAAACAGACAAACAGTAATAGGTACATTAACACTAAAGCACACTACCAACTTACATCTGA